TTTCTGACTCATGTGGCTTGAATTTATACAGATACTAAACACCACCCACCAAAAAAAAGCAGTGAGGTCTAACAACAATCCCTTTCAAATTGCTCCCATCAAATATTTAAAAATAAGAATGTACCTCCAAGTTCTACCTATTGATGTAGAAGGCTGTCAAACATTTCACTTAAGTAATTTCTTTAGTTCTCAAGATTAAGAAAAGAAAAAAAGCTGATTCATCCCTGACTAGTGAAACCATAATTGAACAAAAGAGAAGTCATCACTAACTAAACTTTCTGTGGGATTTTGCACTGCTTATGTTACTTGAATCAGCAAAATAGATTCAAATTTCTTTAAACAAAACAATGGGAAAACAGCTTTTAAATGATCATGAAAATCAATGAATTTTCATCACTGTGACTTCTCTCAGCGAAATGTGCTTAAAACAATTCTGAGTGGCAGGTATTGTGCTGAGTGTAAGGGTGCTAATAAAGAAGCATATGACATGCCTGGCACGGTGGCACACACATATAATCCCAGCAGCTCGGGAGGCTGAGACAGGAGGATCGCGAGCTCAAAACCAGCCTCAGCAAAAAGTGAGGCACTAAGCAACTCAGTGAGACCTGTCTCTAAATAAAATACAAAATAGGGCTGGGGATATTGGTCAGTGGTCAAGTGCCCCTGAGTTCAATCCCTGGTATTCACCCCCTGCCACAAAAAAGAAGCATGACACTTCCCATCTTTAAGAGGCTTAAAAAATAGATAAGAGATGAGCCTTTTAGATGAATTAGGAACCAACAGAAGAAAGAATTTTAAAAATAATACTAATATGGGTTGTGTGGTATAATAAAGTTCATGAAGTATAAGGACCCACCACAGCAGCCCAGAAGAGTGGCCCCAGGCTCTTCCTTCTGCTTAAAGTTGCTAGCTTACAAAGCAAGAGAAACCTTTAACGAAACCAACCCTATTTCCTGGTCACAAATGAATGGAACATGAAGCATGAGCCAAGACTGCCATAGTACTCCTTCATATGAGACAGTGACCACCTTTTTAAGTTTGAATCAGTAACGTGTGAAAAAGACTAAAGTAGAATCGCTGGGCCTGATGTTGAATAAGGAGTTACAACAAGTTATTATTTCAGTTTTCCATGAGGACTTGTGTACCTTCCAGTGTATACAGTGTAAGAACAGAGGGACTATTTGGCTGCTGAGCCAGTCCTCTGTGCTTCTTCAATTTCTACATATCCTATAGTAAGTCCCTATTATTTAAGGTTCTCCTTAGAATCCATACCTATATATGAAATGCTAATAAATGTTTTGTAAGTGACCAAGAAGGACTGAAATGCTCAAATATGGTATGGTACTATACCTAGAATACATGAAATACCTGGAAAGAGGGAGAAACAAACATCTTCGAGGCAGGCATATATCTACCTGCAGCTCAGTTTCTCCTCTTTTATTATGCAAGTGTTTGAAATAGATGAAAAGATACTTTCAAGTGTTTAGTCTTTATTTATAGGACAGAAAACTTAAAAATAAATAAATAAAAATTTCCAAAAGTAGGCATCAATCTCATTTGAAAAAGAAATATCAAATGAGTAGGGATATATTGGCAAACAGACATTCAGAGCCAACTGAATCAAAGAGAATCCATTCTTTTTGTTGTTGTTATTGCATTTTAAATATACGTTTATTTTATTTTTATGCAGTTCTGAGGATCAAACCCAGTCCCTTATACATGGTATGTAAGCACTCTACTAATGAGCCACAATCCCAGTCCAAGAGCCCATTCTTAATAAGAAACAACCCTAGAAAGATTTTTTTAAAATCCTTTCTCTAGATATTGCTACATGAGAAAGAAGCATCTAAGGGTAAAATTAAAATTTTTATTGAAATGATAGACAAACTAATATATTTCCCCACCTTTCTTCTCAATGTTTTCTTTTTTCCCCTCTCTTGAATCACTTTCTTATCTAACTTTACTTGAGCTTTTCTGAATATTTTTGTTTCATGCTCTTGAAATTATTGTTATATTCTTTAATATCCTCTCCCTCTCTAAAAAGACCGTCATAAAAACACATTAAGAAAAATATATATTATTTAGCTTTTTTCTTATTCATGTTATCAGTTATGACACGTTCAAAGTGACTTGGAAGTTTGAGAAAAAAGTTATTCTCCATCCCCAGCACTCCAAATCATATTAAATGTTTTAATACATTTAAAAGATAAAGGGAAAAGACAAGGTAGTTAGAGGGAAACAAGTTATGAATACTAAGGTAGAGGTAAAAACACTTAAAAAAAATGGAAAGAACAGAAAACTTTTTGGGCCTTTGTCAAAATGTCTGGGTCTATAAGCATTCTTTCTTGCTGACCTATACCAGGAGCTCAGTAGTTATCCAAGAGTGTGTCTACATTAGAGAAATAATGTCAGCAGCTCAACTGTAATGAGATTAAAGGGTACAGGAATGTCGGGCATGAGGGAGTGTAAGTTTGGGAGAGACTTTGTTTATTAAATAATGGTACAGTGAACAGTCAATGGCTACTTCTACTTTTTCCAGTTATTAAAACACTTAAAAATATATATTCAATATAAAAAAATATGGCTTGTTTATTGGCTGTGTTATTAATGTCCAGTTCCTGCAAAGCAGAAACTTGAGGCTTCAGAAGTTCTGCATTTGTGAGTTTCCATTATACTAATTTCTGCCAATGAAATTAATAACCTAAGTGGGAGAAAAAGTCTACACCCCCCCTGCACAAGTAATGCCACTTGCATTTTAGGAAAGTATTTTAGAAAAGACCAAGAATGACAAGAGCAAAAAGAACAACAAGAGCAAAAAGAACAATCTAGGTACTTAAGAACCAAATTCCTGTCTCATGACATAATTTAAAGTCATCACAATAAAATTAAATCCCTTTCTCCTACAGTTAAGAAAAAATGCAAGACTATTGTTTAGTAACTCTGCTATCTGGGTCTATACTAACTTTTTCTTTAACATAAAATGCTAAAAAGTGATAAATAACCAATTAGTAAACGAAAAATCTAAACAAAATGTTGAGACAGTCTCAACAGTCTGCCTGAACATCAAAGGGTAGGAGTGGAAATCATTAATTTTCTAACAGTACTTTTCACAGTAAACTAATGAGAAACAGCTTTTCCTACATGCTGGAAAGTGCAACTTGTCTATTTGAAAAAAAAAAAAAGAACTCTGAAGGGATGGGAGGGAAAGGGAGATGGCACAGGAAAGAAGGTGGAATGAAATAGACATCATTATCCTAAGTATATGTATGAAGATTCTAATGGTGTGAATATACTTTGTATACAACCAGAGATATGAAAAATTGTGTCTGTATGTGTAATAAGAATTGTAATGCATTCTACTGTCATATATAGCAAATTAGAATAAAAAATTATTTAAAAAGAACTCTGCGCATCTTCTTTTATAAAAATATTTTTTCTATTAAGAAATATTTTATATCTATTTTTATATCTATTAAATATAAAAATATTTTTATATCTATTAAAATAACTTTTTTTCTTCCCCAGAAAAATGCTACTAACCATGACTTCAATCCATGGTTTCATAACTGTTATTTCTTATACACATTATACTGCTTTCATCAACTAATAAAGTGTCCTGAACTATTAAACAATGAAAGAAAACTATTTGACTACTTGAGTGTTAAAAATATTATTCCGTAGTAACCTCCATAACATACATTTTAATGCATTTGTTTTAACATCCATCAGTCTCCACATAGTGGTAGACACCTTTTTTAAAAGTATATTCCCTCCCCATTTTAAACAATTATATCAATAGTAAATACTCATCAGTCAATACAGTTGAAGTCTTGCTGAAACCCTGTTCTTAGCTGCCCTCTTGCTGCTAAAAAGGAACTTTAGAAATACACAAACTGTCTGAGTGAATAAGGTGAACATAAGGAATCCAATCAAAAGGCAAAGATCATGAGATGCCATGTCTAAAGAATTCCAGATATCTTAGGATATCTGAATAATAACTAAAAATATATAAAACATTTTATCTCCCTAATCTACAAATGCCAAAATTTTTTGCCCTAAAATTCTGAGCTGCTAGATATTTATAGTTTAGGAAAAGAATTACTAGTAACTGAGAATTTTAGTAATAGTGAGTAGCAACAATAATCAGAGAATCAATTATTTATTTCTATTGTTAGTATAAACTTACTTCTAGCCATATACATCCCCTCATATTCTTTTTTTTTTTTTTAAAAAAAAGACAAAAAAAAAAAAAAAAAAAAGGAAGGAAGGCTATAAACCATTGAGGAATTCCAAGTCACTTATATATTTCTGGTTTAACATATAGCACTCTAGAGAGATATTCACATGGCACCTCTATGAAGAATATATTGTCATTTTGTAGGAAAGGTAAATGGAATGTAAATAGCTATACATTTGTTTCCATTTAGTCTAACATCTGTAAAATTCAGCCATGCTAGTATAAACATTTACATTTGCATAACCTGAATGATTATCTAATGTATTCTTCACCAACAAAGTAAATACTGAAGAGAAGAAAGAGGAATAAAGATTCCCTAGAACACAGATCTAAACATTCCACAATATGTTAATGAGTCCATGATTCATCTTTAATTCATCTAAAACCTACATTCATCTTAAATTCCTCAATAACCAAATGGAAATTGGCTTTAAAAGCCTAAATATGAAATGTTTATGCTTTTACTTTTCCTTTGGTTATAAACACATAGTATGGTTATAGGGATAATTGAGAATAAAGATCAATACACAGCTTATATTTTCTAAATATACAGTCATAGTCTAATTCCATGTGTGCCTTCATGATGCTAAACAGCTCAAAGTCAAGTATATATATAGCACTGAGAGTATTCCACTCACATATTTATTCTATATTGATTGCTTCCTATCTCTCACATCTTTCTATCTCCAACAATATTCAGCCCAATGTCTTATACACAGTAAGTACTTACAAATATTTGCATATTTTTTCAAAATGAACTTACCCTTCGAAAGGACACAACATAAAATGTATCTCCCCTTCTGCGGATGGCTTCAAAGAAGTCTTGATAACTTCTGGGTGAAGCATAGTACACTTGTAGCTCATTCCCTGAGTTCCTACTAAAGTAAGAAAAAGGTAGAGTGTTAACAAGTAAAAAATGTCTAATCCTCCCCAAAATACTTTCTACTCTTAAGTCTATGTCTGAATTATAAGAGTCTTTTCAACAAAAAAAAATCAGTAGCATTATAGAAATCATTTTTATTTTTTTACTTCTTAAAAATTATTTTAAATTGATACATAAAAATTACACATATTTCCGGGGCACAATCTGATGTTTTGATACATGTGTACGTTGTTATAATGTTCAAACCAGAGTAAGCATACTTATCACCTCAAACATTTATCATTTCATTATGGTAAAGGCATTCAAAATACTCTATTCTAAAATCATGGCAAGGTAAATGGATGGAGTTGGAGAATATAATGCTAAGTGAAATAAGCCAATCCCCCAAAACCAAAGGCTGAATATGATATGAGGGTGCTGACTCATAATGACCATGGGGTGGGAAGCATGGGAGGAATGGAGGAATTTTATAGTTAGGGCAAAGGGTAGGGAGGGGAAAAGAGGGGTGTGATGGAATAGGAATGATGGTGGAATGAGTTAGACATCTTTACCCTAAGTTAATGGATGAAGACATGAATGGTGTGAAAATACTTTGTGTATAATCAGTGACTTGAAAAATTGTGCTCTATATGTGTAATATGAAATTAATTGCATTCTGCCATCATGTATAACAAATTAGAATAAATAATTTTTTAAAAATACTCTATTCTAATGTTTTTGAAATATACAGTACATAATCATTAGCTATGGTCACTCTTCTACACACCAGAACACCAAAACTTATTTCTCTTATCTAACTGTGACTTAGTACCCATTGATCAACCTTTCCCCATCTATCCTGTCCTCCTGTTCTCCCCAGCATCAGGTAATCACCATTCTATTCCCAACTTCCATGGGATCAGTTTTCAGATTCCATATATGAACAAGATCAATGCAGTATTTGTTCTTTCTGTGCCTGAATAATGTTCCCCAGTTCCAGTCATGTTGTCACAAATAACAGGATTTCCTTTTTATAGATGAATAATATACCATTATGTATACAGACCATATTTTCTTCATTTATTCATTACGTACAATTAGCTTGTTTCCATTTTTTCACTATTGTGAAAAGGGCTGCAATAAACATGCAAGTGCAGATGTTTGGTAGTGACTTTTATTTTTAAAGAGAGAGAGAGAATTTTTTAATATTTATTTTTTTAGTTTTCGGCGGACACAACATCTGTGTTTGTATGTGGTGCTGAGGATTGAACCCAGCAGCACGCATGCCAGGCGAGTGAGCTACCACTTGAGCCACATCCCCAGCCCTGGTAGTAACTTTTAAAGTAACATTTTGAAAAACCCCAAATTAGGATATTTATAAGGTCCAGTTCTAAAATTCTCATTTCTGAATCAAGGTTCTAAAATATAATATATGGTCAAATATACTGTAAAACATGAAATTTTTTTTAAATTATCAAAACCAAAGATTTCTCCATAAGTTTGTATGATTTAAAAAATTTTATAATGAAAATTAAGTCTGAAGAAATGTTATTTTTCACCATTCTGTCAAATATACGAAGGTGATCTTGCCTATGAGGCTACATCAAAAATGAAAAGAATCTAGGTTTAGAAACAAATACACCTTGGTCTACTTGCGTGGACATTCTTCAGGGTATGGATCTCTCTGAGTAACCCCAGTTTCCTCATGAATAAAATGAATATAACCACAGAAGCCTTGGAGGATTTTTAATGGAGTCAGAGATGTCATCTATGTAAATGACCAAGGATGAGTCCTGTTCTATAGGAGTCATTCCACAAGTGCTAGCTACTGACATGAAAAGCACCATATAGGCACCTTGATAATTTAATGAACAAACTTTAATAATACCTCAAACTATATCATATGTGAAAAGATATACTCAAATGATACTAAGCAGTTCTTAATAATATTTTTAGTCTTTAGTGTTGAACACAATAAACCAACATCCAGAAGAATGAATGGGACCCTATAATGCTTCATTCTTCTCCAAAGAGAAAAACTTTTATTATCAATAAAATATTATTAACTTAAGAGAGAAAAAGATTGACCTAAATGGAAACTATAAATGAGCTATAAGTTCTTCCTTTGAGGGGCTGGGGTGATGGCTCAGTGGTAGAGCACTTGCCTAGCATGTGTGAGGCACTGGGTTCGATTCTCAGCACCACATATAAATAAATAAAGTTCTATCAACAACTTAAAAATTTTTTTTTTAAAAAAGATCTTCCTTTGAAACAACTGCATTTGCTCATTAGACAGTGCTTGATTACAGTATTTTGGATATACAGACAATTCTTGTTATTTCTGGTAGATGTGCTCTAAAGAGTCACCACTAACAATGAATTAGTGAATCCTAAGACAAATAAATACAGGATTGGGTTCATGTAAGCCTCTGAAAGATGATTATATTTTGGTCGTTCAATATGTAACCTCATTTTATGCATGTTTTTGTTTAAGGACACTTTCTTTAATAAACATTGAACTTACAGCCAAAAGCATGGTAGCTCATGCCTGAATAAAACTTTACAATACCTTGGACCTGTCATGGGCTTAGGTACACTAGACAGCACCTCAGCAATATGCTTGGGGTCCTTTTAAATAGGACAATTGCCAATAAAAGGTATAAAAATATGAAAAACATGACACTAAATGAACTACGAAAAGGACCTTGTATATACTAAATAGTGAAACAAGAAGGTAAAAGGTTGTCTGGTTTAACCTTACCTTAGAATATCTATGCATTTTTCAAAATGCTGTATTATTTGGGGGTTACAAATAACTTTTATTTTCATTTATTTATATTTTGGTATCAAGGATTGAACCCAGGGGTGCTTAACCAGTAAGCCACATTTTTACATTTGATTTAGAGACAAGGTCTTGCTGGTTGCTTAGGGCTTCACTGAGTAGCACAGGGCCTTGCTAAATTGTTAAGGCCAGCTTTGAAATCTTGATCTCTTGCGTCAGCCTCCTGAGTTGCTGGGATTACAAGTGTGTGCCATTGTGTCCAGCTACAAATAAATTTTAGCAATTAAGCAAATATAGAATCCATAAGTAAGATGATCCATGAATGAGAATGGACTGTAACTCATTAAAAATATTTTTAACTAATGAAAAAATACTATGCCATGGTGAAAGATGCTTAATTTCATTTTGTTGCATATGGATTTCCAGTTTTCCCAGCACAATTTGTTGAAGAGACTATCTTTCCTCCGGTATTTGCTTTTGGTGCCTTTGTCCAGTATGAGATAACTGTATTTATGTGGGTTTGATTCTGTGTCCTGTATTCTGTACCAATGGTCTACAAATCTATTTTGGTGCCAATACAATGCCATTTTTGTTATTATTGCTCTGTAGTATAGTTGCTTTTACTATTTCTATGAGAAGTGTCATTGGGATTTTGATTGGGATTGCATTAAATCTGTATAGTGCTTTTGGTAGTATGATCATTTTGACAATATTAATTCTGTCTGTCCAAGAACAAGGGAGATCTTTCGATCTTCTAAGGACTTCATTAATTTCTTTCTTTAGCATTCTGTAGTTTGTAGAGGTCCAAGGACCTAGGAATTAGACCACAGACCTTGTGCCTAATAAAAGAAAAAATAGGCCCAAATCTTCATCGTGTCACATTAGTCCCCAACTTCCTTAGTAAGACTCCTAGCACAAGAAATAAAATCAAGAAACAATAAATGGAATGGATTAGTGAAGACACTCCTAGGTATAGTACTTTCTTTGAATTGTTTCAAAATCTTAAGTACTATTTTGTAGTGAAAAGGGAATTTTATGTCAAATGCTAGGGTATGAATTCTGGTTCTGGCACTTGGTTCTATGACAATGAAAAATTACAAAAAAAAATTAATGACTTGCCCAGTTTTTTCATATATAAAATATACTTCAAATTATTATATGGGTTTAAATATAAAAATGAATAAAGCATCCAGCAAGACATCTGTATAGAACAGTGAAAAACAATATTCCCCTCCCTTAGGCTTATGAAATAGAGGCAAATCAAGGAGAGGGGAACTATGAGTTTTTAAGATTTTCAGTAAAATTACAAATGAACAGCATTCTGACTAAATCTGCATTTAAGGGACTGAGGAGAGATTATCCTTAGAAATTATCTGACTTTACTCAGAAGAAGTATTTTTTTAGAAGTAGTATATTTTATATGAATTAATATGAAAGGCACAGATTAAGACAAATTAAGGTAAAAAAGAATTATGAATTTCAACTTTACTAAAACACAAGCTAGGGCTGGGGATGTGGCTCAAGCGGTAGCGCGCTCTCCTGGCATGCGTGCGGCCCGGGTTCGATCCTCAGCACCACATACAGAACAAAGATGTTGTGTCCGCCGAAAACTAAAAAATAAATATTAAAAATTCTCTCTCTCTCTCTCTCTCTCTCTCTCTCCCCCCCCTCCCTCTCTCACTCTATCTTAAAATAAATAAATAAATAAATAAAACACAAGCTATTTTAAATTCCCTGGCCAAAAGCTTCTTGATACTTTCTTACCTGATACTAGTGGTTTCTGTGTATTGGACAGCCATCAACTGAGAATTTGAGCCCTGTTCTAGAGCACCCTGAAAGAGAAAAATAAAAAAAAAAAAAAGGTCTAATGCCACATAGTGAAATTATATGATGCTATTCCTATGCTGTCTTATTCTATCTTTATATGTACTAAAGAATTCATATTGGTTTTTCTATGGATGTTGTGACAAATTAAGCTCATGTAATTAAACATCAGCATAAAAATCCAAACCCTTTAGCTCACAGTCTCACAGAGATGTGTCTCTTAGAGATTAAGACACTCAAAACACTTACCCATATAGAGTTTAAAGAAAAAGAACAGAAGTTTAGACCAAGCACAGGTTTTATGAACAAGCTATACAAGTATTACTGGACACATCACAACTTAAATTTATCTAAAATAATTATGTTTATCAATGAAAAGTTCCTAAGCAGTATGAAAAATCCAAAATGAAACTAGATCCCCATTGTTTACTTAAACACAAATATATTCATGCCAATACATTTATGGACTATTTGTAATTAAAGAGATCTCACTGATGACTCACTTGGCAAGAAACCAGTTTAATCTGGAACCATCAGTAGTCCACACATACTACACTAGAAACCTTTCTTTAACATGCATGCGTCTGTGACCTTGTTATAATTCCTGGCAGTTTTGTAAGCTGATCTTCAGAAGAGTTTGGTAAAGGTATCAGAATTCAAAGACATATTACTATTATTACACTATAAAGTGACCCTACTGCTACCCAATCAGTGGCTTAAATAATTGTTTAATTATACATCTCCTGGCATTTGTTTATTTTTGTGCCTTCTATTTCTCAATTTTTTGTTCTTTGTTTTTCTTTTCCTATCTTCTTTTCATTAAACTAGTTCAATTCCATTTATATTTCTTGTATTGGCTTTTTAGCTGTCTAGTAGGACTCCACTATCCATGATTTTGCTAACCATTATTCCAGTATCCATGGTTAACTGTGGTCAAAAATGTTTAAGGGAATATTCCAGAAAAAAATAATCCATATATTTTAAATTCTGTGCTATTCTGAGCAGTGTTATAAAATCTCAAGCCTTCCAGCTCCATCCTACCCTGGACATATATCATCACTTTATCTAGCATATCCATGCTGTATTCACTATTTATCTGTTTCACTTAGTAGTCATCTCAGTTATCAGATCAACTTGTCATGGTATTACAGTATGTCTTGTGTTCAGGTAACCTTTATTTTACCTAATAATGGCCTAAAAGCACAAGAGTAGTGATGTTGGCAATTTTGTTACAGTATATTTTTACAATTGTTCTATTTTAATGTTAGTTATTGTATTTTGTCTCTTATTGTGCCTAATTTATAAATTAACCTTTATTAGAGCTAAGGATGTATAGGGAAAAAAATAGTACATACATAGTACTATCCACTTTAAGTTAATCACAATGTACCTTGAAATAGTATTTGAACAATATAAAATTCTAGCAGTATAATTCTTTTTGAAAAAAATCCTTTATTAGTGTGTTATAGTTATACATACTAGTGGGGTTAATTTGGACATATTCATAAATGCTTATAATATAGTTTGCTCCACTGCAGACCCCTGCTTAGCAGTATATTTACCCATTCATCTTTGTATTCTTTTATTAAATATTAACCTCACAACCATTTTTCCTTTTGCTTTAAAAAGACAATACTCTTTTAAAAACATTTAAACATACGAAGCACACAGATTTTTTAAGCCTGCTTTTTATTACTTATTCTTGTATCCTTCCTTCCTCTATGTGTTATCATTTTTCTTAGTCTAAAAAACTTTGGGAATGTCTGACAGTTTGGGTTTTCTGAATACCAATTTTCTCAGCTTTTTGTCTATCTGAAAATATCTTTATTTTGCCTTCATTTTGAAAGATATTTTCATTAATTTGTCCCTGCACCTTTTCTAACAACTCATATTCTAGGAAGAGGGTAAGATTATGAGAGAGGATGTGTCAAATCAAAGACGTAATATTTAAAAGCAACAGAAATTTCAAATAAATGTCAATTTGCCAGAGTTGCAAAATATTTTATAAGACTTTTGACTCCTTGTGGCATTTAAAAGAGGTAATCTGGAGGAAAAAGAAAGTTGAAATAAAAAAAGAAGATAAAAGAAGAGCAATTTCAGGCTCTCTACCCTATGGAAGAGAATCAAAGGAATTTTTACATGTTTTAGAATCGACAACAGTACAAGCAGAATGATCTTTCTCTTCCTCTAATGGAGAACTTCTTTTGCTTGGATAAATATAGATTCATCCTTGCCATTCCTTTTTTGGTAATACCTAAGATTCCTACAATTCTGACCATGATCTAAGCCCCCTACAGTAAGATATGCACCCAAAATAGAGAAAGAGACAAGACTTTAAGTTACAAATCTTCTCTAAATGAACAAAGACTATAAAACTAAAATAAAATTATTTTTCTTGTGTTGGAATTCCTTTAAGATTAAAGAAAAAACCCTTCCACAGTAAATACGTTATTTTTTAATCTAATGAACAGGATAATATGACAAATTGTATCTAAAGATAAGACAAAACAAAACAAACAAAAAACCCTCATTAAGGCCAAGAATTTGAATCTAATTTTTCATACAGAACACTATAGCAGCTATGTGGGATTATCTATTGCAATTACCTATTTTTGCCTTCCCCTGTATTGCAAAAGATGGAAGTCTAAAAACCACATTACCTGAACTCTTTTGTCAGCAGGGTTCTGGATATAACTTAGGTTCTGACAATAAAATGTGCCTTGTTCCAGACTTAGAAAGCAAAATAAAATTCATTTTTTCTCTAGCCATGATAGCAGCCAATGTGTAAGACTTAGCAGACAAGAGTTTTGCAGTACCAAACTCTGCAGTCTAATGCCAGTAAGCAGGATGGGGGCTGTGAGGTACTCACGGCATATACTGATCGCCCCGTAGCCTCTAAAAGTACTAACAACCAATACAATTGCCATAGTAGGAGAAAAAAAGGTATTGGAGAGGGCCAGAGAAGCACATAGTAGAATCATAATAGATTATCTATGCACATACTAGATAATAGATCGTCTAAGCACATACTTGATAATCATAGAATCTCAGAAAGTCAGAGTTTGAGTTCACCAACATGAATGCTCACATTATTGATGAAAACAGTTCTATAATGGCAAAAATCTATGTCTCAATATAATTTTAATATGCTTTTGAACAAATCACATGCTGCTTACAGTTAAGTCTCCAAAAAAATCAAATAGTTAAGATGTTTCCATTAGCCTATAAATATGCAAACCTGGTGTCATATCTTCCATCTAAAAATAAACCCTCTTTCTTGATTCCTGTAGCTATTCTATTTCTCTATTCACACTTATGGAGATAATCCTAAAATACTCTTTTCCATTTTCTCATATCGTATCATTTCCCACAAAGGCCTCGAAGTAAGGCCTTTATCATCACAACTATAATGAAACAACTTTCATCAATCAAGTTTTAATGGTTGATTTTGATGATAATTTCTTAGTCATCATCTTAACATTTCTTGACCTCTGTGATGATTAATCATATATCTCTTCTTAAGACACTCTTTGCTTGGGGTTTGGGGTACCACAATCCTGCATTTTCTCCTATCTTATTGGTCAGTCACTCATCTTCTCAATTGCTAGTTCTTCTTTCTCTTTCAGCCTCTAATGTTGGTGTTGGCCCAGGGCTCAATGCCTCACTCTCTCTTTTTTTCCTTTTTAGTTTCTTACACTCCTGTCTCCAGTTCCTCTTTCCCCAATCTTGTTATCAATAATGGCATCTCTGTTCAACTAGTACTTAACACGTAGGAATTTCCATTAATTCCTTTTTATTTTACAGCAACAATTTCTAACAGCTCTAATTTCAAAATATACTTGACATCCAAGTGCTTTCCTTTAGCTCCACATCTACCCCACAAGTACAGGCTCCACAGATCTCTTACCTAGACTACTGAAATAGCATCTTAACTGGCCTCCCTATTTCCATTCATGCCACCACACCATGGTCTACTTTGTGTAGCAGCTGGAATGATCTTTTAAAAATATAAGTTAGGACAAATTTCTAAAGACATATGACCTCCCCAAATTGAATCAGGAGGGCACAGAAATGATGAATTCCAAGCAATGAAATTGAATATGCCATCAAAAGCCTACCAACAAAGAAAAGCCCAGGACTGAATGAATTCTCAGCTGAGTTCTACCAGACTTTCAAAAAAGAAATAACACCAATTCTCCTCAAATTATTCCATGAACTAGAAAAGAAGGGAACCCTTCCAAACTCATTCTATGAGGCTAGTATCATCCTATACCAAAACCAAAGACACATCAAGAAAAGAAAACTTCAGACCAATATCCTTGATGAATACAGATGCAAAAATTCTTAATAAAATACTGGGAAATCTCATACAAAACATATTAAAAAGATACCACACCATGATTGAGTGAGTTTCATCCCAGGGATACAAGGTTAGTTCAACATATGGAAATCAATAAATGTAATTCAACATATAAACAGATTTAAGGACACTAATCACATGATTATCTCATAGATGCAGAAAAAGCATTTGACAAAACACAGTATCCATTTATATTCAAAACACTAGAAAAACTAGGGATAATAAGAATATACCTTAACATTGTAAAAGCTATATACATTAAACTAAAGGGCAATATCATTCTAAATGGAGAAAAACTGAAAGCTTTTCCTCTAAAACTGGAATAAGACAGGGATGCCCTCTTTCACCACTCCTATTCAAAATAATCCTTGAAACTCTAGCCAAAGCAATTAGGCAAAAGAAAGAAATTAAAAGGATATGAATAGGAAAAGAAGAGCTCAAACATTCCTGTCAGCCGAGAACATGGTTCTATATTTAGAAGACTCAAAAAATTCCACCAGAAAACTGCTAGAACTCGTACAGGAATTCAGCAAAGTAGCAGGATATAAAATGAACAAACGTAATCAACTGTGTTCCTATACATCTGAGGGGAACCACCCCTGAGCTATTTGAACATCTTCACTAGGCCTTGAGCCAAGGAGATTTTGATTTAGCATTGCAAGCGATTTTGTGGCTCCTCCCACTTAATGGATTGTGCAAAACACTGACCTCTGTCTTTGCTCCCCTAGGGAGACAGATCTTGTAGCTCTGGAGTTGGGCATAACCCACTGGGAGCTGGACAACCCACCTCCTGCCTTATTTGGCATAAAAACACTCTATGGAAAACCTTTGAAGGTTCCCCCATATAACAAAGCAACTGCAGGCTCTTACTCTTTCCAGTGTGGAAGCTCGACCTCTAAGGTTGAAGAGCGTCCTACCCTCCCTTTTCACAATTGCTTTCTCTAGTGTATTTCTTTTCTACCTTTTTTTCTTAGCTTAATTTCACGTCCAGCCCACTTCATGTAGAGGAGACCTAAATTCCAACACGGGCGCGGGACGTGGGCGAGATACACTAATGCTGAATCATTGGAAAGAAAATTTAGGAAAACTATCCCATTCACATTAGCCTCAAAAACAACCAAGCCAAAACAAAACCAAAAAAACGTGGGATTCAATCTTACAAGAGGTGAAAGACCACTACAATGAAAACTACATAACACTAAAGAAAGAAATTGAAAAAGACCTTAGAAGATAGAAAGATCTCTCATGTTCTCGGATAGGCAGAATTAATATTGTCAAAATGATCATACTATCGAAAGCGCTATACAGATTTAATGCAATTCCTATTAAAATCCCTATAACATTCTTCATAAAAATAGAAAGAGCAGTCATTAAATTCATTTAGAAAAATCAGAGGCCCAGAATAGCGAAAGCAATCTTTAGTGAGAAAAGCGAAAGATGAGGCTCACCGTACTAGATCTTAATTTATATAATAGAGCTATAGTAATAGCAAAACAGACAAGACCAATGGAATAGAATGGAAGAATATTATCAGTCAGAGATAAACCCACATAAATATAATTATCTCTTATTAGACAAAGGCACCATAAACATACATTGGAGAAAAGATGGCCTCTTTAACAAATGGTGCTGGGAAAAATGGAATCCATGTGTTACAGAATGAAATTTAACCTCTATCTTTCACCCTGCACAAAACTCAACTCAAAGTGGATCAAAGACCTATACATTTAACCAGAAACCCTATCCTACTAGAAGAAAATGTCAGTCTAAAACTCCATCATTTGGCTTAGGAACTGAATTCCTCAATAAGACTCCTAAAGCACAAAAAGTAAAATTAAGAATCAATAAAGGGTATGGAATCAAACTAAAAAACTTCTTCACAATGAAGAAAACAATCAAGAACATGAAGAGAGAGTCTACAGAATGGGAGAAAATCTTTGCAACCTGCACCTAGAGGATATTTAAAGAACTCAAAAACCAAGTAACCCAATCAATAAATGGGCAAAGAAACTGAACAGACACTTCACAGAGAAGAAATATGATCAGTCAGTCAATAAATGTGAAAAAAAGTTCAATATCTCTAGCAATTAAAGAAATGCAAACGACACCATTTTCATCTCATTCCAGTCGGAATGGCAATTTTCAAGAATACAAGTAACAATAAATGTTGGCGAGGATGTGGAGAAAAGGGTACACCATACATTGCATTCCCCACCAGAGACTGCAAATTGGTGCAACCACTATAGAAAGCAGTATGGAGATTCCTCAGAATCATGATTTGACTCAGCTATCCCACTCCTCAATTTATACCCAAAGGACTTAAAATCAGCATACTACAGTGATGCAGCCACATCAATGTTTACAGCAGCTCAATTCACAATAGGCTAAGTTATGGAACCAACCTAGGTGCCTTCAACAGATGAATGGATTTTTTTAAAATGTGGTGTGTGTGAGTGTGTGTGTGTGATGGAATATTACTCAGCCATAAAAAATGATGACTTTATGACATTTGCCAGTAAACTGATGAATCTGGAGACTATCATGCTAAGTGAAATAAACCAATCTCAAAAAAACCAAAGGTTGAATGTTTTCTCTGATATATGGATGCTAACATACATAAAGAGGGGGTGAGGGGAGAATGGAAGTTCAGTGGATTAGACAAAAGGGAATGAAAAGAAGAGAGATAGAAATAGGAAAAACAGTGGAATGAATGAATCTGATACAACTTTCCTATGTATATATATATGAACACACCACAATGAATACCCACATCATGTACAACCATAAGACTGGGCTCCTAATTAGAATAAAACAAACTCAATGTTTGTATAAATATGTCAAAATATACTTGTACAACTAAAAAGGACAAATAAAACTTTAAAAATACATATAAACCAGGAGCTGTGGATGTAGCTCAGTGGTAGAGCACTTGCCTAATATGTGAGAGGCCCTGGATTCAATCCCTAACCCTCTCCTCACCCTGCCATACACACATTCACACATAAAAATCAGGTCAAGTCACTGCCCTAATCAAGTCTTTCAATGGTGTTTCCTCATGCCATGGATGAAATCCAACATTCTCACTACAGCCTATGAAACTGCGTATTATTTCACCTCTGCAAGTCTCTCTAATATCATCTACCATCTTCCCTCAGTCAATGCATTCCAACCTTACTCAACTTCTTGATGTTGCCTACAGAAGTAAACTGTTCCTTCTTAAAGATCTTTACATTTGCTGTTTCTCTAGAAGATCTTTCACCAGATTTTCCCTAAATCTTTACATTGTTTACTCTAACATTTTCTGTCTACATAGTAAAAAACAATGTTGTCATTACAACTTTTTCTTCTTCCTGAGCACTCAGGAAGGCTACATATTCCCAGTCTCTCTTATAGTCAATTAGGCAAAATGAAAATTTTAGCTGACTAAACAGTGGCTAAAGTCCAGGCCTGATCCCTAAAACCATTTGTATTATCTTCCAAGCTCTCTTCCCACCATTTAAAACTAGAAACAAAGATTTCAAGTTATCAAGTTGTCGGAGCTACACAATAGAAGGTACATGGATCCCTAAGACACTATTTGGAGAAAAGCCATTTTAGAGAACTATGTTAGACACTGTAAGAATCAAGTTTTTATTCTATTAAGCTAGGGAGATTTTAAGGTCATTCTAACAGCCAGCATTAATTATCTTGACAATACCTTGTTAAATTGAAACTTTTTCAGAGAAGCCTTTTCTCACCACTCAATCTAAAATAGCTTCTCATTTCTCAATTCAAATTCTAACCTTCTATCACGCTTTATTTTTTAGAGAATTTATCTTAAGTTTGAGGTACCTGTGCATTTATTTGTTTATTGTTTAGTTCTCCCACTAGAAGGGGAGAGACTTTATTATACTCGCTACTATATTCCCAGGGTCTGGAACAGTTCCTGGCTCATTATCACCACCACAGATGTTTATTGGGTACTCACACTGTGCAGTTGCTAGTCTAAGCACTTCAGAAGTAGCAACATATATCTGATGAATGATGAATGATTGTAAATGGTGCTTTGTGACAAACAAGATTAAGATAGAAGCTTTACTGAATAGCTGAGTAAGCACTGTCATTAAACCCAGTAGTGGCACTTGTCTAAGTTCAAAAATGTCCTTCATTGATGTGTCCCATGTTTTAATACCCTATTTCTGAAGAGCTCTCAGAAGTAAGGAAACAAATAGTGTTGTTTATTATACCAGTGGTGCCAAAAATATTTGATAAGATATCCATGCACAGTAACTCCTGGACGGAAGCAAATTTGAAGAAGAGAGCAGGAAAGCGCATCATGCCTGAACACAGGAAATGAGTATTATAAAACTTAAACCAAGTGCCATAAAACCTGGGCTAAGAACAGTGGTGGCAATGAAGCTGCACCAGAAGCAGCTATGAGAAGTAGGTAAAGCTTAAGCTTGCCAAATCTTCCAGGAGAGATACCACCTCTGTGGCGGGGTAGGGAGAGAGCTTCCAATGATTAGCAATCATTATTCCAAGACAAGTAGAAACAAACCTGAAGAACACGAGTTTTCTGTTGATTGTTTGTCATTCTTCTTGACTTGGTCCTTTCCACTTCATGTCTATGAACCCAACCTCGAAGTTCATGATTTAATCTATAAAACAGATAATCAATTAAACATATTTCTCAGAAATAAAATTCTTATCTCCTGGTGAGAAATGAATTTAATCATTCTGTAGGTTCCAAAGAGTATTCCAAGTGCCTAATTACTTAGTATTTCTCTTTGATTTGAATAACTAAGATTCTTAACTGAATATTTAGTAAGATATGCATTTTTATATGGTAGGTTCCTCCATCAAAAATTCAAAATTTAAAGAAAACCATAGCTAAGTATTTGCCAAATATAAATATTGAATGCAAAGTGTTTTTTTTTTTCTCTTGGGCTGTGTGATATACAAATATCTGAGACACTGGAGAAAACAATCCATAGGACTCCTATCGCAAAAGAATATATTAAGGCCTTTGAAAATCATGCCTTTGGAGAGAAGGAAAATGATGAACCTAACTACCTGGGGGGGGAATAAATTTTTTCAATAGTAGAAATTTAAAAGATCAATTCAATAAAACTTCCCTTTATTTTGCTTACTTTCTACAGAAGTTGCAAATATGTTAGACTATCCTTATTTAACTATAGCTGAGTACTATTTAACATTTAAAAAAGGAGGCAGTTTTTAAGGCTCAAGGATATGTCCAAAATCAGGAAAAAAATTTGAGAGAAAAGGCAATACAAGAAGGGTGCAATAATGGGAAAGTGTCTCTAGAACCACATAACCTCAAATTATTGTCTTCCTAATTTGAAGAAAAAGGTACCTTCTGCTATAAAAGTCACCACCCAGTTAGCACTTACCCTGGAATTTTAATTAATTTAATTCTGTAGTTTTCAAATAAGACATATTGCAATATGCAACCATTATATTAAATAGACCCATAATCATCTATCTTAGACTAGTAGGGCAACTGCATAGCAACTGATACACCTGTGGCTATCCAACAAATAATTTAGGGATTCAACCACTCAGCAAATCTGAACAAAGACTTTCCTAGGTTCCAAAGCTAATCATGGGAGCCCACTTATTTATTTTACAACAACTTATAATACTTACCTGAGAGATTCTGTTGTGTTAATCAGGGGTTGACAAGGAGGAGAAGGAATATAAAGTAGTGGCTCTTCAGTTAGCACCATTAGGGCTTTGTCATTTGAAACAGAATGATCATATCTGAAACAAACATGCAAAAAATTTGTTTTCTTGCTTCCTAAATTCCTAGTAAATTTGATATAAAATCATCAACTTATTGAATTCATATCTAGGGTTTGACCGTCATCAAAATCTGAGGTGAAAATTAGAATCTGAACTGGGGACATTATTGCTATTTATTATCTTCAGTCTGCTATGTTATTTTTACTGGGCATTTACTGTTGATCATATTCCAGACCTTATTATATTTTATTTTGAAACAGGGTCTTACTCAGTTGCTGAGATTTTCAATAAGTTGCTGAAGCTGGCTTTGAACCTGTGATCCTTCCACCTCAGCCTCCTGAGTTGCTGGGATTACAGAGGTTTGTCTGCTATTTGAATCTCTATTACTAAAAATTCTTATTTAGATTAGTCCTGAATTTCCTTACATAAGATCTCTGGATTTATAAAACTAGATAAAACACTCAAAAAGAAAAAAATATAAATTCGTAAAACTGAACATGGAAATATTCACACTTTTCATTTATTCATTCAACAAATATTTGTTAACTGCCAACTGTGTGCTGGGAATCCAAAAGTGAACAAGAGAAATGAAGTCTCTGCCCTCAAACAGGGAAGATGGACCAAATAAAAGGGAAAAAGGCATAAAATAAATCCAAACTGGTATGTATTATGAAAGAAACAAACAACTGAAATTTCAAAGCAGCAGCAGTATTTAGTGGCCTGAGAAGGAGATGGTATTTAAGATAAGGCCTAAGTGATAACTAGCCCCACAGAGAGAAGGGGAAGAGTATTCTGGGTAGAATCAGGTGGGGGAAAAAACAGGCTCAAAGAACATAAAAAAAGACCCAGGGCTTAAGAGTTGTGAGCAGACGAAAGGTAAGCAGGCACAAGAAGTAAAGAAGACAGAGGAAAATGAGATCAAGATAAGGAACTGCTATATGCAAAGAGAAGTCACAATCATATTTTAAGAACATATTTCTATTTACATTTACACCTTGACACTATACAAAAAATGAATTTACTGAAAAGGAGAAGACTAAAGACCAGTTAGGAGAGAAGTATAGCAATTCAAGCAAGAACTGACAATAGCATGGACTAGTTAGTTTCATGGCAATAAAAATGGAGACAGTAGACCAATCCTCAAGGCAATTTTTGGAAAGAAGTTCAACAACAGTGGTGAAAGAGATGAACAAGGGTTTCTCGCTTAAACAACAGAAAAAAAAATGAGGACTGTTGTAGAAAACCCACTGGAGGTACAACAAGGAAAGGAACCAAATTCCACTTTGCATATGTTAAGTTTGAAATATTACAAAAGAGAAGTCAAGCCAGGGTGCGCACATGTAATTCCAGCAACTTGGGAGGCTGAGGCAGGAAGATTTAAGTTTGAGGTCAGCCTTAGCAATTTAGCAAGGCCCTTAACAACTTGGTGAGGCCCTGTCTTAAAATTAAAAGATATTAAAAAGGATGAGATGTCCCTTAGTGGTAAAGTGCCCCTGGGTTCAATCTCTGGAAAAGGATGGGGTGGGGCAAGAAGACTAGTAGATACATGTGTTTGGAGTTTGGCGACTCAAAAGAGAAGTATGGACTAGAAACATAAATCTCAGACATCAGAATATACAGATATGGATTCTGTGTTAAATTATGGGTGAGTCACTTAGGCAGAAAGAAAACAAAAAAGCTCACAGTTCAAAACTTTGATATTTCGATAGAGGAGGAGCCCACCAAAACCAACCAACCAAACAAACAAAAACAAACTATGAAGCATCGTCAGTAAAATGGAAGACTAACATATGAACCACCACAAAAGGAAAGTCTTTTCAAGAAGAGAGTGATCCACACAGCCAAATGCTAAGGAAAGGTGAAGTTAAGATGAAGACAGAAATTTCCATTGGATTTGACAATACTGAAATCACTGGCCTCCTTGGCAAAAATAATTTTGGCAGAGTGGAAAGCTAACTTCAAGATAAAGTCAGACAGAAGAAAGAAATTAAAGGGATACGAATAGGAAAAGAAGAACTCAAACTATCACCATTTGCTGATGACATGATTCTATATTTAGAAGACCCAGAAAATTCCACCAGAAAACTTCTAGAATACATAAATGAATCAGCAAAGTAGCAGGATATAAAATCAACACACATAAATCCTCAGACAACTTGGAATAGAACCACCATTTGACCCAGCTATCCCACTCCTCAGTTTCTACCCATAGGACTTAAAATCAACATACTACAGCAACACAGACACATCAATGTTTATAGCAGCTCAATTCATAATAACTAAACTATGGACCAACGTAGGTGCCCTTCAACAGATGAATGGATAAAGAAAATATGGTGTCTATATACATGGAGTATTACTCATCCATAAATAAGAATAAATTATGGTATTTGCTAGTAAATGGATGGAACTGGAGAATATCATGCTAAGTGAACTAAGCCAATTCCCCCAAAACCAAAGGCTGAACATTTTTTCCGATATGTGGATGCTAATTCACAATAAGAAGGGGATTAGGAGAGGATAGAAGTACTTTGGATTAGACAAAGGGGAATGAAGGGAAGGGAGGAGGAAAGGGAATAGGAAAGATAGTAGAATGAATCAGATATTACTAACTTATGTGCATATGTGATTACACAAGCAATGTAATTCTACATCATGTACAACTAGAAGAAAGAGAAGTTGTACTCCATATATGTATAATATGTCAAAATACATTCTAGTATCATGTATAAGTAAAAAGAACTAATTTTTAAAAAAAGGTAAAAGTCAAAAAAAAAAAGGTAAAAGTCAGAGATCTGTGTGTATGCCATATACAAGGGAAAAGAAGCAAGAGCTGAAAATATATAGAACATTCTTCCCTGCAACTTGTATCAGGAACATTCTTTTTTTTTTAATTTTTGTAGTTATAGGTAGACAGCATGCCTTATTTTATTTGTTTATTTTTATGTGGTGCTGAGGATCAAACCCAATGCCTCACACGTGCAAGGCAGGTGCTCTGCCACTGAGCTACAGCCCCAGCCCGAGGAACATTCTTTATGTCCTCTCCTCTGGCTATTAAGGTTAAGTAGAGCTAAGTTGTTTGGAATAAAACAGCCTAAAATTAACAGTGGATGGAGAGGGAAAAATATCTGTCTTGTGCTTGGTAAATGAATGCCTGTAAAAGGCAGCACACATACACACACACACACAAAAAAAATCTAACAAAGACCTGTCACATATACATTATGTTAAAAATCACGCCTATACACTTATAAAAATATAAGCAAGGTAGTCCTTGAGAAAAGTCTAAGACTATTTTATTTTTTTTAATTTATTTATTTATTCTAACTAGGTATATATGAGAGCAGAATGCATTTTGATTCATTGTACACAAATGAAGCACAACTTTACATTTCTATGGTTGTACACGATGCAGCATCACACCATATCACAGTCATACATGTACCTAGGGTAATGACATCCATCTCATTCCACCATCTTTCCTGTCCCCATGCACTCTCCATACTCTCCCTCCCTGTTGCACAATCACAGTTCCTCCATTATTGCCATGCCTCCCTCCTCCCCGTTTTGGATCAGCACCCACTTATCAGAGAGAACATTCAGCCATTGATTTTTTGGGATTGGCTTACTTCGTTTAGCATGATATTCTCCAACTCCATCCATTTATCTGCAAATGCCATGATCTTATTCTCTTTTAATGCTGAATAATATTCCATTGTGTATATACACCACAGTTTCTTTATCCATTCATCTACTGAAGGACATCTAGGTTGCTTCCACAGTTTAGCTATTGTGAACTGAGATGCTATGAACATTAATGTTGCTGCGTTACTATAGTGTGCTGATTTTAAGTCCTTTGGATACAGACTAGAAATGGGATAGCTGGGTAAAACGGTGGTTCCATTCCAAGTTTTCTAAGGAATCTCCATACTGCTTTCCAATTGGTTGTACCAAGTTGCAGTCCCACCGGCAATGTAACTGTTTTCCAGATTGGTTGTACCAATTTACAGTCCCACCAGCAATGTATGAGAGTGCCTTTTCCCCCATACTCTCACCAACATTTATTGTTGTCTGTATTTTTGATACCTGCTATTTTGACTGGCATGAGTGAAATCTTAGGAAAACTACCTCATTCATATTAGCCTCAAAACAAAACATAACAACAACAACAAACAACAACAACAAAAAAAAACCTTGGGAATCAACTTAACAAAAGAGGTGAAAGACCTCTACAATGAAAACTACAGAACACTAAAGAAAGAAACTGAAGAAGACCTTAGAAAATGGAAATATCTCCCTTGGCTTGGATAGGCAGAATTAATATTGTCAAAATGATCATACTACCAAAAGCATTATACAGATTTAATGCAAGTCCAATCAAAATCCCAATGACATTCCTCATAGAAATAGACAAAGCAGTCATGAAATTCATCTGGAAAAATAAGAGACCCAGAAGAGCTAAAGCAACCCTTAGCAAGAAGAGTGAAGCAGGTGACATCACTATACCAGACCTTAAACTATACAACAGAGCAACAGTAACAAAACCAGCATGGTATTGGCACCAAAATAGATTTGTAGACCAATGGTACAGAAGAGAGGACACAAAGACTAACCCACGTAATTACATCTTATATTTAGTTATCTTATCACATAATTAGTTATCTTATATTTGACAAAGGCACCAAAAATGTACATTGGAGAAAAGATAGCCTCTTCAATAAATGGTGCTAGGAAAATTGGAAATCCATATGCAACCAAATGAAATTAAACCCCTATCTCTTACCATATACAAAACTCAACTCAAAGTGGATCAAGACCTAGGAATTAAACCAGAGACACTGCATCTATTAGAAGAAAAAGTAGGCACAAATCTCCATCATATGGGATTAGGCCCCAATTTCCTTAATAAGACTCAAGAATCAATAAATGGGATGGAATCAAAATAAAAAGTTTCTTCTCAGCAAAAGAAACAATCAGTGAGGTGAGAGCCTACTAATTGGGAAAAAATTCTTACCACA